TAAATCTAGTAGAATCAAAGGTATTTCTTCGAGTGCACCCCGTGGTTCCTTGGATCGGTCGCTTACCCGTAATCAGATATAAAAATCAATAGCAGATGCAGAAGCGGAATAATAAGGGGTACGCTGTTGCTCAGTTTTTCTTTTTGTTGGCGCAGCCGTAGTTGATGTTGTTGTTATTGTTACGTTTGTTTCGCCCTCTCATTTGCCGCCAGAAAATTTAAAAGTTGCATTTTTAATGGAGTTTCCCTGTCAAACATGACTTTGATTCCCTCGCTGGGCCGGCAACTCTCTACGTGGCTCTCCGATTATCCACTAATGTGATTTGTACTTGGATTGCCGCATGCACACATACACACATGTACATGCATTCGTACACACTCGGAGTACACACAAGCAAATGAGCACACACGCGGGTGTACACGCAGGTAAGCCGCACACAGATAGCTTCCTGGCACACACCTACCCCACACTGATGTATTCAAATGTTTCAGCATTTTAAACACATCTCACACGTCGAATTCCCGACGGAGTGGGGAGCGGAATGGAATGAAATGGGAATTCCCTCACAGCACACTTACACGCACGCACAATACCCACACACCTCCAGGACTCATGCTAGCACACACATACATGCTGTTATAGGCGTAAAAATCTGAGGCTAGCTATTAAACGTTTTTCAAGTGCGCAAGAAAAACAGGTAATGGCACTGCTATTGATTTTCTTTTTCAATAAATGTTGAAAAAATATCACCGGCCGAGAAAAGATGATTATATGAAAGGATTTCACGGGTTCTGTAAGAGGCCTCTGATCTTAAGTAACTTCCATTTGTAAATACCCAACATGAGCCAACATCCAAAAACTAAATCTTGCGACGTTACTTATAAAAAAAAAAGATGCTGAGGCATCATTGGTGTCAATCCCAATAATCTTAATTCTTACCGTTATAAGGGCTTAGGTATCCTACTCCTGGTAGAAAATATATAGTAACTGCAACAACTTCACTTGTGAATCAATTATATTTGATAAACATAGAGAATATAAATATGTCCCATGTTTGCCGTTTTTACTTTTTATACCTATAAGTCGTAAAGTTGAAAACTATGTAACAGGTAGACGGAAGTATATATTTTCTTGATCAAAATCTGTTTGAGCACTGAGATTTGCGGAAGTTTAATAGGAAGAAAGTTTGGAGTAAGCATGTAGATTCTAGAGATGTTTGCTTACCTCAAGGTTCCGCAAGGATTCAAAGCCTTCCCACGCCCTCTGTAACGCTCGCAAACCGAAACTCTGTGACGTCCACAATATTTAGCTTAAACAGATATTATTTTCTCTTAATGTCTATCAATTTACTAAAACTTTTTATATTAAATTATTATTTCACAAACAATTTTAACAAATTTAGATAATAAGGCCTTGGCCATATGGGTAGTTCAGTATTATCTTGCGTTTATATGTAAACTTTTTTTATTAGCCATACATTAAAAATTAATAAAATTAAGCGAAGTGTTTATTTTACTAGCAAAGTCCAAAAGTGAGGTTTATCTCCTATGTCTTAAGAATGTCTTGACTCTATTTATGGCTAAATATAACTGTCTGAGCTGACAAAGTTCAATAGCACTTAAAATTAAATCCCTCCAACCGGAGTGGAGTATTTTACAGTGTTATAGTAATAGTAGTATAACTTACAAAGGGACTCCTTGCATATGTCTTTCCCAACCTAAAAAAATACACAACAATGTGTGCCGTCTGAATCAGCTTCACACATGCAAACAGATGTGGGAAAAACATATTTCTCACATGAACACCGCAAAACTATTGCAAATTACTACAAACAACTTCGCCGAAATCGCATGGACTTCTGGCCACATCAGACACAACTTCGGCTCCAACAATGGCCAGTATGATATTTTTTATGATAGCCTGACCAACACATTTCGATTCAATTTATGGGTGGCGATTTGTTGGTATACTCGTACATGTTGATATATGAATCTAGATATAAACAACAGAAAGGACAAAAACAAGTATGATTTCGGGGAGAAAACTTTTCCCATTAAATCAATGAACCGCACAAAATATTCGCACCAGGCAGCAGCGACAGAAATCAAGTCGAAAATGGGCCAAATTTTTGGTTTAAAAGATTTTCCCAATCCAAACATTGCTAGCCTTGAATACATACATTTCGAATACGTACGTACGAACTGTCTCTTTACTAGCTACTCGTACATCAAATGGCTTCGATTGCGTTATCTAAAGAAATGTCCCAACGGACGAACCATGAAGGGTTCTTTAAAGGTTCTTGGAGGGGATTTAATGGTTTTTAAAACAGTTTAGACGAATCAGGATATTACACCAAACTTTTCCCATTCGTTGCATCAGAATTGTAATTCAATAAATAGGTTAAATAAATTGTTAATGAAGCTAACCTTACGTAGAACAGCAACAAACTGCTGTAAGGACATTACAAATTCTTGCGTCGGGTTATATAATATATCAATTTTTAAAATAAGAGCTTATGCTCTGGCGTGGATTAGCCGAAGGGATTCAGGGGTTCGGCAAAGCAAAAGAATCGACTTTAAGGAATCGAACTTTGCCTGTGCATGACCTCGCCTTTCATCCCTTGTCCCTCAGTGAAACACCATTTCAAGTGTTATTCCGTTTGTTATACACACATATTTTTATGCCTGATGACAGATCAATTTTTTCCCCTAGTTTTTGCTCTTCTTCCTCGGCTGTCCGGGCTCCGCCCAGCACACAAAAAGTGCACAAAAGTTGCAAAGCAAAAACGATATTTTTTTGGGGCCAAAAAATAGAACAAAAGTCAATTTTTCCGGGGCAAGTTAGAAAAAACTGGCGAGGCGCAGACAATAAATGGCCACATGACAAAACATACGTTTCATGTAGAAATTCATGTCATAAATTTCGTTTTGAAGGCCCTTCGAACACTTGTTTTGTTCGGCTGAGGTGAAAATAGAACATATCTCCCTCCATCTCCATCCGTATATGTACATGAGTGCTCAAATCTTGGCTTTTTAATTTTATACGAGTATTTACCAATTAAATCGGTATTTAAATTTCATTTTTAAATTCATTCCCAATTATTGTCTTAAAGCCTCTTATTTCGAATTATCCCTGGTAATGACAATCGAATGTCCTAAGTTTAGCAGGTCTTGATTTTACCTGACATCGTACTAGCCAATTAACTTTGATGAGCTAGCAAAATACGTTTGATTATTTATATGTTAAAGACAACCTTAATTGAGGTGGCTGAAAATACAGGTGGTAGATGGGAAGGACCTCAAGCAATGTTTGCTTAATTAAACAAGTTAGGCGACTTCATAGTTATTGTTGCAAGTGAAATAGATTCGAGTCCCAGCCCGCTTTCTTTCTGGCTGCTGTTAACAGGGTGCATCTACCGACCGAAAAAAATCTTCACTGCAAATCCAGCTCCATGCAAGGTACGTGCTACCGCGATTACCTTTATTTATAGGTGTCTGTTGCGAGCCTAATTTAACTACTGCATGACGTTTAACGAGGAATCGTGCTCAAGACAGCGGAAATTGCCATTGCCAAGGGAGACCGGTAGTGTTGAGTTGCAGTTCAAAGGAACTACTGACTGCCTTGCACAAAAACTGTGACAAGTGAGATTCTACTCTCAAATTAAATTAAAGTGCTATACCTCATGTGCAATTCCTAACAATTATATAATGATACAATAAAACTACCCTTTTCTACGGACACTTTAAAGATATAAGCGATACCCGGTTTGGAAGCCTTCCTTGGAAGAAGCGGAACAGAGGCGACATCATTGAGCGAGAAGCCATACTTTCGGCGGAGTGTTGTGAAATGTTCGGTATTTCAGGTTGTATACAAGGACAAAGCAGTTATAGTTAAATAAAAGAATGTTCAAAATAACATTGAAAAACAGATGGTTTTTTTGTTGAATTTTTATCGATTTTGGGATCGGCTTCAGATTAAGGATCATAATTCGCAGCTAGGGTCATCATCGAAGAAGAAGAAGAAGATTTCAAATTTTTAGCGGATGCTGTAAGTCAAACAACCAGAACATCTGTTTTAACTTGTTTTAAGAAACTCAAATGTTAATTGTACTTTGGTAACGAAATTAACTGAACAAAGTCGTTCGCTACAACTTCTTCATTTTGTTCTCAGCCTTGCGTTTCTAAGGGCTATGGAAAAGTTGAATCATTTAGTTAATCGAAATTGGGCACTGCTTTATACTGCTTTACCGAATTCTGGTACACAACGCCTCTTTGGTTTAGATTCCACGTAAGCGGTCGTGGCATGTTGGGAAAATAATACATTGAATAAATTTATAAATGATAAATTAAATAATTTAATTATAGTTGAAAAATTGTATAAGTCAAATGGCATTGGACATAGTTTGATTACATTTTGAATTATTGAATTTTTCAATCAATGCCTTTTTTATGCTTTTTTCATTGTTTACACGAAAAGCCGTAACTAACAAAGGGTTTAAGCTCTGACACAGAGCATTTGGACAAAGGGCTACAAAAACCAATAGATATGCCACGAAGCTGTGACTTGTACCTACAAAGTCAATTTAAGCATGATCGAGGCAGGGGTACTGTAGTATATATAATGTAAACGCTACTTTGGCTAGTAATCCTAATTAAGAGTAATACATATACTAAAAACACATCCCTAACAAAGATGATCAAAACAAAGATAATAATACGAGTATAAAGACGATAATAAGCAAGAAGAAAAGTGACAGTCGAGTATTAATAAATATTAAATAAATATTAAATATTTCTATAGAATTTTAACAGAATTATGTACAACAATTACTTACGAGTAATGGGAATGCATATGGATGCAGTATGTACAGGTTGTTGGCATACTGCACCACGTCGACCAGGGATGAACACTGGTGATGGAAATAACTGTAGGCAGTAGGCAAATACAATACCTCGCGCAAATATCCGCTGCAATCATGGAAAATGGAAAACATTGTTCGCTTTTGCTTGAAAGTTTCTTGTCATTTATTAATATTTTACTTTGTGTTGCTCGCCATATCATATATTTTTTTGGTTTTATTTTGTTACATTTAATGTAGGTTTGCTGTATGCTTGTATATTTTTTTACGTCTGCATTGGGTGTGTATTTTGTGTTCTTGCTCTTTATGTCCTACAATTGAACTTGAATGTAAGAAAATGGTTTTGGCATGGCAGCGAATGCATAATTTTGGCTTTCCGTAGAGCATTACAAAGCTTTGTTTAATGTTATCCATATTTTTTGTTTGGATGTTCTTGCCTTGTTTTTCTGTTGGTTTTATTTTGTCTTAAGTTCGACTTTTGATTTTGATTTGCATTTTGCGTTCCTACTCCTCTGGCCATTGTTATTGTTCGCTTCTTAGGTTAACATGCATACTATAGTTGTTGTTGTTGTTGTTGTGTTTTGCATATAACAATATTAAAATATTTGAGAAGCCCAGACACACAGAGCCGTACACAGGGAGAAAAGGAGTAGAGAGGATCTTTGATTCGGCCGTGAGTTCTGTGTGAATGTGTGTTTGTGTGGGTTTGATTTGATTTCATTTCTCTTAATTTTCTAGAAAATCTTTAGCCATTCTATTCTTATTATTATTTTGGATTGGTTTCTGCACTTGCCTCTGTTATTATGCGTAATTTATTTGCTAAAGTAATTAATTCCGTGTATTTCCATTCTCGACTAAAGCTTAACTCGTTTCCGAATCGAATAAAAGGAAAACGATATAGTTAACTATGAAAAAAAAAATGGTCGTCTATGTATGTATATGTATATGAAACTCTTTGAGTTTTGCTAACAATCCGCACTTACTCTAGTTAGTTTTATTGTTTATGTTTATATGATTAGTTAGTTACTTTTGGTAATATGTCCCGCCACTTTCATACCGAATTCTATAAATATTTCGTTTTTGATTTCTCAGCGTTCGGTTAAAAAAAAAAAACAAAAAAAAATCCACTCATACATTATCCTTTCACTACGTCTAGTTAAAAAAAATTGTCTGCGTGTGTGCTCTCCAATACAGTTCCATTGAGTATATATATATATATAGCCAAGTCCGTGTAGTTCTTATAAATAGCTTTATGGGGGAACCTTAATTTGATTTAGATGCAACATTTTCGGCTGAGATTTCGCATTGATTCCACTTTATTTACATTGAAAATTCCGCGATGCCTTCCGACTCTAGCATACTGCTCTACTTTCAATTGTCATAACTAAACGAACGTTGAACGCATCATCGAGATTATCACTAACCTAATTTTTCCTTTTTCTTCCCTTATCATTCCTTTTTATGGGCTTCATGGTTTATTTTTGTGTTTCGCTTTTTGTTTGTTTTGCTTTTGTAATTTAAATGCATTTGGGCGCAAGAAATGCTTTTGCATTCGGTCTGATGGATAAAAGTGTTGACTTCAATTGAAATATGAAATATGCGGGATTTTGCACTTCTTTTTTGGGATTGCAGCTTTGATTTGATGGGGTGCTGAAGTGGATGAATTCACTTAAAAATCCAATATACCTCGCCATCCAATTAATTATTAACGGATTTTGTTGCTGAATGCCAAAAATTTAGTCCACACATTCGGTAGATCCTCTGAAAACTCATTTATTCTCGACTGAGCCCGCGATTATTTTCGGTTGAGCTTAACATTAACGCTGTGCTTGCGGGAATTTAATGTTTTCTAAAGCAAACACACCTCTAAAAATGTCAAAAGCCTTAACGCGGCTTTAAGAATGTTTAAGTTTTCAAATTTGAAAACTCAGCATTTTTATTCTTGCATCTATTTAACTGAGTTTTACTATAAACATTGCTGATTGCCTAGTCCTGGCAACATTTTAGTGGGACTACGATTAAAAAATAAAGCAAAGAGTGCTATTACTTAAATAGAAACTGTTTATAAGACACAAAAGCCATGTGTGGACTCTTTAGGGCTCAACACGGAGAATACGAAACTAATTCAAGTTTTTAGAGGAATTAAGTTAATATTTTTAAAAACTTTTCAGCACCCCGCAACTCGCACTTAGACCTTTAATTATTTACTAAGCCCTGCTGTTTGTTAGACTAACACACGCTCAAGTGGCTCGTATTTAGCACCACTCCCGCCGCCATGTAACCGTTATTCTGTCGGTGGGCATGGGCGTGGTTGTGGTTATGGGCGTGTCCGCCGTCCAGGGAGGAGTCGGCGACCACCAAGCCCACGCCCACTAGGGGGCTGCATGCCTTGCCCAAGGTAACCCCCATAATTGGTACGCTCCCGATGGGCGTAGTGGCCGTTGTGGTGGTGGTGCCGGTGCCCGTGCCACCTGTGCTTAGGCTGGTCCCACTTATATGAGCACTAATGCCACTGGGCACACTGGACATGTGCGACGAGCTTCCAGTGTCGGTCGAATTATTTGTATTTGCCACAGCTGCTGCTGCCGCTGCCCCTGATGCCCCTGCATTTGCAGCGGTCCTCGTCAGCTCCTCGTTTGGTATGGAGAAGTGTCTGTAGGATATATACTCCGGTGGCAGGGCAGCCTGCCGCTTGGCGTTCTCAATCCGCTGCTTCTTCAGTTTCACATAGCTCAAAACCGAGATCATAACGATGAACACTATGATGCCCAAGCAACAGCCCACAATCAGGCCCAATCTTCTGGTCAGAATGGAGTGTATGAACCCATTGCTGGAAAGTCCGTTCTCGTCGGTGACCAAACTGGGCGTGGAGTCCAGGGTTTGCACATCCGTGCAGGCCGAAATGTGCGAGTTCTTAAGCACCTCTATCAGGGCATGGTCCATGCCGATGGCATTGTCTTGGTCCTGTTCTGCGTTCTGATTCTGGTTCTGGTCCTGGATCATTGCTCCATTGGCGTTCCGGTACTGCTGATGGTGGTGCTGATATGGCGAAAAGGTCTCCGGCAAGGGCGCCGACATCATCACCGACTCTTCCTCGCGCACGGACTCGTTGGCATGGAGCCGCTGCAGAGCGTTCGCCAGCGGCTCTGAGAGCCAATTACCGCTACCGATGACACAAATGTGATAGCGGGTATTCGGGCTCAACTTGGTTAATTTTGTCGAGCTGGCCGTCCCATTTAGCCGCTTGCCGTGGATCTGCGAAATAAATTGAGCAGGTTACAAGACGGTTATTGTCATCACCATACAGCCATTGTCGTTTTTATTCTTATTTTCATTTTCATCAGCACCGCCGATGTCGATGTCGACGCCATGTCGCTTTATTAAAAACTTTCCCTGCGGCCCTCCGCTTTCTACGGCCACAGTGGCGTCGTTGTTCGCGGTTTATCGATTCAGCACAGCTCAAAGCGTTAGAAATGTAAAGTAACGAGCGGACATTGCGGACAGTGCGGAGAGGTCGCGATCTGACGGGGGAAGTATCGACCGGTAAGTGGATAATTGGCAGAACGACCAGCCACTGAGGGAATTCGGACGAATTAGTAATAACATTTGGATATTTTCAAAAGTATATATGGGCATATGGACTTTATTATTCCATTTATTAGGAACACATTTTTAATACTTTTTAGAAATAAAAATTTTTGAACTGCACTGTATATACATATTAATGGACATATTTCCAGGAAAAATTATTTTATTTTTTCCTTGTAAATATTCAAGTTTCGGGTTGAGTTTGAAATGTACAATTTTGAATGTGTTTTAAAAAATTTTCCTGTGTAGAGTCGCACTTACCTCGTCCGTGGCGACGGGGAACCGCTCTCTGTCCCGGTCCCTCTCGCGTTCCCGTTCCCGTGCCCGCGGATCCTGTTCCCGATTCTGCTGCCTGATGAGGTCGTGGCCCCTGTCCCTGTGACTATCCCGCTCACGGTCCGTTGGAGATCCGGCCGAAACGAGCCCGTCGCCGGTGGCGTGGTAAACAATCTCGAAGCCATTAAGGCCCAAATGGTCGCGGCTCTGCCAGGACACGACTACCGAGTAAGGCTGGATGTCCTGGATGGCCATTTTGGGTATTAACGGAGCGTCGCAGAACTGTTGCGGCTCCATCCGACCAAACACCTTGCCCCGGAGCTCAGTTGGGTGTTCGCACCTTAGGTAATTAATGGAATCGCCACTCGGCCCGCCACCCATCCCACGGACTCCTCCTCCTGCGCCGGGGCTCGTAGAAAGCGACCATTTGCGATGATCCCGCAGCCATTCCCACAGCTTCTGGGCATCACAGCTGCAATGCAGTGGATTCTCTGAAACGAGCACGCAATAAGCAACGAATTGGCCATGGCAATAGTGCACAGGGTGGGAAAAGGTGTAGTTTTACGATGCAAAACCAAGCCATAACTGTAAATGATGGTTTTCACAGAATTGCTTTTTATTTTTCCAACATAGTTACTTATTTTGTTCAACAAAAAATCTATGTAATGAATGTTTTTATTGAGAAAAAATCGGAACCGTTTGACCTGTACTTTTTCCCAGTGTAGTACAACACACAAAATCAAATGAAGCCAGCTAAGCCAATTGTATGAAAATGGGAGCCATGTGCCACGCTTTGCTCCATGGTGATGATAACAGTGGGCCAATGTGCATTTTGTTGGAAAAGTGCAAATAATACAAACATAAATCTAATATTTAAGCATTTTCAAATATATAAAATGGGTTAATAATTAGGTTATTAGCTAAATATTCTGCATAATATGAACCTGTCAATGCGTGCAGAGTGCTTACCTTCTAGTTTAAGCGTTTTTAGATTGGTCTCCAGGGGCCTCAGTGGATCTAAAGGCACCAGCTCAAAGTAATTTTTACGAAGATCCAAGACATGCAGTTTCCTTAGAAACCGGAAGGCGTCGTTCGACAGGACCGTCATCCGGTTGCCCATGAGCAGCAGCTCCAACAGACCATGCAGGTTTCTAAAGGTCTTTTTTGAAATCCGATCCAGCTGGTTAAAGCTCAGATCCAGGGTTTGCATTTCCGAAAGATCGGCACTAAACTCTTCCAGATCCTTCAGGGTGTTATGCGAAATATTGAGGAAGCGGAGCAGTCGAAGTCCCTGCAAACGTTCTTTGGGAAGCATTTCCAGCTCATTGACACTCAAGTCCAGAGTAAGCAGATTGGTTAGAGACTTGAAGGCACCCGGGGAAATTCTGGTTATTCTGTTATTTACCAAGTGGAGGTGCTGCAATGCCTGAAAGGCTTCGAAATCCTTTGAAGTGAGTATGGAAAGGTTTGTCTGGCAGATATATAGCTCCTTGAGGTAGGGATACCTCTCCTCTTTGACAGTGTAAATCCTATTAATAGGGTTGCCAGTCAAGTTTAGCCAAGACAGACGCGGTATTGAAACATCCGACAAAGCTGAAGAGGGTATCTGCAGAAATCGATTACTGGACAGGTCTACCTTTTGCAAATTTATCGAGTGACGCAGGAAATTGGCTGGCAAAGAGAGTAGCAAGTTTCCACTCAGGTCGACACTATCCAATTGAGTTAGGTTAACGGCATTAAAGCCGCTTAAGGCTGTGATCTTGTTTTCCCGCAGTATAAGTTGTCTGAGATTTAGGGTTCCGCTAAGTTTAAAGAAATCTATGGAGGACAATTGGTTTCGAGCCAAGTCTAGGCTTTCCAGAGTGCTCAGGTTATAGAGAGCTATGTGCGGGAACTCGGTAAGTTGGTTTCTGCAAAGCTTCAGTTCCTTGAACACATTCAGGCCACTAAAGATGTTGCGATTCATCTGGGAGAGCCTGTTGTTGCACAGGTCCAGTCTTACCAAATTTGTGTTCTTGGCAAAGAGTAAGTCCGGAATTTGTCCCAAGCTGCAGTTGGACATGGAGAGCTGCTGCAGAGATCGCAATCTATCAAAAATTCCTGTCATAATGCCACCAGATCCGTCATGACTGAAGTTGTTATGACTCAACAGCAGTCTTCTTAGATTTGGTATATCTAGCTTCTGAATATCCGCTGTATTCAGCTGGTTTCTTTCCAGATTTAGCTCATAAAGATTGATCAGCGACTTAAAGGCATGTTGTTCCAGTTTCCTCAGGGAGCAATTGGCCAAGCTCAGAGTATTCAAGGGTAGTTCATCCAAAAACACATCGCTTGTCAGTTGCACTAACGGGTTATGGGACAGGTCCAAGGACTTGAGATTTTTCAGCTTGGCAAAGGCATACCCTTCGATGGCCTCTATGTGATTGCGAGATAGACTGAGTTCCTCGAGGCCCAGGAGGTGTGCGAAATAATCCCTTCTTAGTTGCTTCAATTGATTGCCACTCAAATCAAGAAATTGCAGGACTAACAGGTTGGCAAACGTCTCCTTTTCTATATCTCTGATTCTGTTGTCGCTCAGATACAATCTTCCCAGCTGCGGAGTATCGGTGAAGAATGATTTTTCCACTCTGGTCAACTGATTGTCTTTCAGCCACATGATTTGCACCTTTTGCTGTCGGCGGAATGTGCGCGGATGGACTTTGTGCAGGTAATTGGCCTCCAGCTGCACAGAAAGTAAAGATGAGTTGTCTTCTGGAAAAATGTCTTCTAGCACTGTTAGTTGGTTATCCTGGAGATTAATGTGCTGCATATTTTCTAGAGTGTGAAAGGCTTGGGGCTCGATATCCTCAATGCTGTTCTTCTGGATGTGCAGCTCCTGAAGGGCAGGAAGTGGTTCAAACACGCCCTTCCTCACCCGGCGGATGCGATTGTTGTGAAGTCTCACCTCACGCAGGTGCTCCAACTTTCGGAACATGCCTATCTCCAAATCCTGGATTTCATTATTATCCAAGGACAAGGATGTAAGCTTGGTGCTCTTGTCAAACAGGGTGACGGGTAAGAGAGGTATGAAGTTCGACCTTAAATACAGGTGATCGAGGTTAACCAAAGTGCTAAATACATTGGGGTCTACGTGAGCTATAGCGTTAGACTCTAGATAAATGACATCCACATTTGAGGAGTTGGTAAACGCATCTGCTGGTAGCTCCAGAATATTGTTTTCACTCAGAAAGACCTCCCTCAGCTGGGGCAAGTCCGAGAATACGCCTCCTATAGCGTGTATATGATTGTGGCTGAGATCCACCGTTTGAAGTCTCTTATTCCTTTCAAAAACCTTAGGATCCAATGTTATTATCCTGTTGTGCGACATGTCCAGGGACATTAGTTCACGCAGGCTCTTGAAAGCCTCCGGCTGGACCAACTCTATTTGATTGGCGTAAAACGAGAGTGTTTTCAGTTGGGGAAATGCCCTGAAACAGTCGTCTCCGATCTCGGCAAACTGATTGGAGCTCAGGTCCAGGAAAATTAGGGATGGCAGCTGGAACGCAGTTGCTGCCGCCGCCGCCGCCGAAGCATTATTGGTGGCCAACTGAATGTCCCCGTAGAAGGTGGAAATCCTGTTGTTTGAGAGCCGCAAAATGCGCAAGTGGTCTAGTTTCCGGAGAGCCATCAGCGGAAAGGTGCGCAGTCCGTTCTCCGACACGTCTATCTCCTGCATGCATTCCTCCAGTCCGGCGAAGGCGTGCTCCGGCATTCCTTGCAGCCGATTTCCCTTGAGATTAAGTTTGGAAAGCCGCAGTCCATAGAAGCTGTAGTCCTCTACTCGCACGATCTCGTTATAGTCGAAGTCCAAGGCCGTCAGCTTCTGCATCGAACTCAAGGCGCGTGACGGCATCTGGAAATAAGAAAAAGGATTTTAAGTTTAAAATAACAGCTTCAATGAGGGCTTTATATGACTTTGCTCTATACTGTGCATCTTAAAAGTTAGCGAGGTCGGCCTCTATCTTTATATAACTCTATATATTATAACAGTACCAGTAACGGGTATAAAAACATATAATTTAGATGATGGACATTTCTGTCCCGAAAGCAAAGTCAACATACTACATACATAGGTATGGCCCATGTAGCGTTTGCTTTTTGAACTATCGATAATTTTGACTTTGACATTAGACTAGATTCAGTTGGTTCCGCAGCTTAAGCCGAATGACCATTAAATGCGTTTTCGATTCGCGAAATGGGCTCAGGAGCGCTTGGTTGAAGATTTTTACCGAAAACTCGTGTTTTCTGATGAGGCTCATTTCCACCTCGGTGGTTATGTTATAAACAAAACTGTCGCATTTGGGGTTCAAAAAATCCACACGTCGTCTTGGAGATGTTAATGCATCCACAACGAGTGACTGTTTGGTGCGGTATGTGGTCGGGTGGCATCATTGGACCGTTTTTTTTTTGGTGTCCGCTATGGTGGCATGTTGGAAGACTTTTTCTTTCCCCGAATGAAAGAGGAAGACATAGACGACATATGGTTCCAGCAGGACGGCGCTACGTGCTACACAGCCAACGTCACAATTGATCTTTTGCGCGGTACGTTGGAAAATCGCATAATCAGCCGAAACGGCGATGTCAACTGGCCGCCTCGCAGCTGCGATTTGACCCCGTTGGACTATTTTTTGTGGGAGAGACGATTGATGACCTAAAGCACGACATTGAAGTCGCCTTCACTGTTATTGAGGGCCATACCATTGAAAATGTGTTTAAAAATTGGGTCGACCGAATGGGCTACTGTAAAGCCAGCCGAGGCAGTCATATGAACGAACTGGTGTTTCATACATAACCGTTATGTTGATACTATCCAATACAAACTTTTGAAAAATATATACTCTTTTTTTTTTAAACTCAAATCTTCCGTGGGCCATAATACCATACCATACCATAATTACCTCCATAAAAAGCCACTGATTTGAACATAAATACGTATTTGCTAATTTAGCAAGCGGAGAGATGAATCAAACTTTGGAGAAGTGCTACAGAAAGCGTTTGGCAAATACACATACAAAAGTATATGACTCTAAAGAGTGGCTAAAAATTCAGGGATGGTCAAAGAAACATTTTAAGAGCGCTTTTAGTATTCGTCGTACTTCGTGGGGTAAGGTTTTTGGTATCCACAAGAGGTTATCCACGAAAGAAGCTAAAGGGGATGACCACTGGGTCTGGGTAAAAAAGGCTCCCCCTGGTGACGACCATGTTTGACATCGGAAGGATGTGTTTTAATTTCCTTGTGTGTGCATAAGGTGAGGTAATGTTTTTAGCCTTTATTACCCATTCTTTGGTCAATAAAATCTTCGTTTGTATTGCATTGTATTGGATATACAGGGGGCTTAATGGACGTCTGGCTGTCTCCTGGCTTTCCCAGTTCAATCTTCCTTTTTCCAGAGTTGGTTCTACTCTATGGCGCTGTCTGCCTAGGGCGAGGGCGATTTGGGGCCCTGATATTTTTCGTACCGTGGCGACGAGCGGGTACGAGGTCGGGAAAGGGAGCGTGAGCGGTGGCTTCGATTGAAGCGCGACCCAGACTTAGAGCGAAAACGGGTGCGCGAACGGGATGTCGATCTAGAGCTGGACATCGAGCGGGAGCGCGAGCGAGTCTCACAGTGATGGCGCCGGCTGCGATTGACCGGGGAGTAGCGACGGTATTGGCGCCACGGGGCCTTTAGCATGCTTTCCTGAAAGGCGGACACTGTGATCCGCTTGCCGTCGATTTGCCCACCGTTCATGTGCTTGATGGCACAGGCACAGTCCTCGGGACGTGCGTACTCTACAAAAGCGTAGCCACGCCCCTGACGCCCCTGGAAGCGGTCCATGGGAAAGTCAACCGCCGTAAGGGCGCCAAAGTGTCCAAAGATCTCGGTGATGTGCTCCTTGGTCACTTGACGCGTCAGCCCCTTGATGTGCAGACGCACAATCCGTACAGGTTGACCAAAGTGGTGAAAACCCCTTGCGTTTCGATTAGCGTTTTGGTTGGCATCACCGTCCGAACCGTTGAAGTCTTTTGCACCGCCTCGGCCTCTTTTTCCGGAACTATCATTTCGCCGCGGGCTCCTCTCGTAGTCTTTATAACGTCTGCTTTCCCCACTCGACTCCTGACGACTCGGTGCCGGAGTTGGTGGCGTTTTAGGTCCTTTACGGGGTCGCTCAATGATCGACGACCTACCCCTGGAGTTCGAGCGATGCGTCGATGGGTCCTTCGCTGTCGGAATATTGGTATTGGCATTCCCATCGACGGAACTCGAGTTGAAGTCGTCTGAGCGGCTCGAAATAACGACAGGTTTAGACTTCGAGGACTTGCTGGCTGAAGAATTATCACTGGCGCCCTTGGCGGCCTGACGAGTATTGGCGGAAGATGTGGATCCACCTGTCTTGGGTTTGGTGCTTCCACTAGAGTGACAGTCGGCTATGGCAGTGGAGTTTGCAATGGTCTTGGTGATCGTTATTGTGCTGGACTGGATGATGGCCTGGTTGTGAACGCCAGAGCTGCTGGTGGCCGAAGAGGTGGCGCGCGAGCTGGGGCAGCGATGGCGTGACCTGCGCTGATCCAATGCCGTGCCTTGACATAGTCCAGCTGACATGGTGGTCGGTGCTGGAACTGGAGCCGGAACTGGCGCCGGCACGGGCTGGGGATGGTAGTTATGCGAATGGGATTGAGGATGCGTCTGGGACTTCGGCAACAGGACAGCAGGAATGGCTGCTGGAACGGGCAGGGGAACGGGTGCCGGTATCTGAATGACTCCTGGGGTCGGGCAAGCATTTTCCTCCTTGACAACAGCTGCCTTGAGAGAGAATCCGACGCGTTGCCTTTTCCTGGCTAAACGCCTCGAGGAGCGTCCGTGATCCGAGTGGCAGCGACGGCTGCCGTGCCGACGACGGTGCGAATGGCGTGGATGATGGTGCCGCCGATGGCGACGATGGTGTCGGTGATGGCAACACGAGTGCTTGGAACGCTCAGACTTCTTGGCGCTGCCTTCCGGCTCCAATTCGCTCCCGCTGGACGAGGAGCTGCTGCTGGTGCTGCTGGAGAAGCTTGTGTAACTGGAAGATCCGGTGGAAGTGTAGCTTGAATCCGAGTAACTGGAGTCGCTACTGCCTCCTTCACTAATATCCCTGGCATTCGAGGGATTTTGCGAACGGTTCCTTACGTGGGTGACATCTACTGCTCCGGCTAACTCTCCGTGATCCATACGGTCCTTGCGCTCCCGGCGATCCCTCTTGTGCAAATGGGACTCCCTACCATCCCGCATGTCAGCTGGCTCACCCTCCTCCTTCGGCTTGGTAGGCTGCACCCTGCTCATTGTCCTCAAGTTTATCGTTGTACTACTCAAGATAAAAGAATTTGCCTTAGCTTGAAAAAGTTTTTTTAGTTTTTCAGAGCTGCTGCAACGTTTTACACACTTCAAGGATTAATGTCAAATTGACTGTGCCGGCGTGAATTAAAATTTATCGGCAACTGTCATTGCAACCCGTGTGACCAGATAGTTCTACTCGATTAGGGCTAAAGCTTTTTAAAGCCCAGTGTGAAAAAACGAACCTCCAAAATCTTACCAAAGTACTATAAAGTACTTTGTATTTTTCCATACTAACAGTAAGTTGCAATGTAGAATTCTTTCGGTAAGCTTACCCATGGGCTGCTGAAAACTTTGGTCTTAAAGTGTGGATGTGGTTCTTTTCGTATGGTTGTCAGATGGCAACGCTGTACATTCTTAGATTGAGAAGGTTAAGGCTATTCCTTTTAAATGACATTGAAATTTATATTTAAACATTGTTTGCAATTTATGCGTTAAGGAAGGATACCACGGAGAACATTCAGAGTACTTAGCAAAGACCCAGAAATCTTTTGGAGCAAAAAGAATGAAAGACGATAAGTTTCTAGGCACTGATTTTAGAGATGTACAGTGGATCCAAGCTTATTTCGTGCAAGAAAAAATCGAAGTTTATATTTGATACTGCTACTAAGCCAGCAGAGATACCACTGTATATTGGTATCCACTGTATATTATAAGCACCCAATGTCATAATAGTTCGAAGTTAATGAGAAGATATGTATCTAGGCTTTACAAGGTAGCCAGGGGTAATACGTATGTTAAACATAAAGCTGCGAGGGTTACAAATGGGAAAGGTAAAACACGAAAATTCGATACAAAGGAAACCCTTAAGCTTCAATCCTTTTACTTTTAAAAGATTAGCCAGTCAGAAGTTTCTGAACACCCCTATTGTTTTCCATTGCTTTTACTACTACAAATCACATAATTTGTTTCACGTGCTTATCACGTTGATACTATTTTGCAAATATCAAAAAAAAAATTAAACATAAATAATTATCCAAGTGAATACAGTCGATTGAATTCAAATTCGTTCTGTCCATTAAGTATCCTTTGTATATACATATGTACTTAGATACATAAGTGCATATGTCCTAATTGTTTTTCTTGCAGCTTTGTAGATATACTTTGTTGTAAAAATTTAAATGTTTTGGAAGAACGCTTTGATAACTACCAATGCCAACTGAGGCCGAGCCCTGGAAAATATTTCCTCGTTATTTGTTTGAATGTCTATTCGAGTGGAGGGGCTTTTACATAATTGCATTGATTGAGCAGAGTTTCCACCACACTGGCCGCATGTGGGTGAGCACCACTGTATGCGAAGGCCGAGGGATCGAAGGATCGAAAGAATGCAGACGCATGTCACCTGACATGGACAAAGCGAATTACGGCCTTTTAATTAATGTACTGACATGGAAATTTGTGGCAGTCGATTTTAATTTATTGAACCTTCGCAGTCCGCTTGGCGCCTCGTGAACGCGACCGGGGCATCGAGGAAGCCCAGGACATGCGACACCGCCCCGACTCAACCAAAATTTATGGCTAGTGGCTGCCCAGTGAAAAAATTGTCCTCCATAAAATGATATTTATTTTTATTGTTGGCACATTTTGAAATATTTATGGGCATTTTGAATTCCAAAGACAAGCGCAAAAAAATATTATCTGCTTTCCAGACTCTAATCTCTTATCACGGGTCGTTTCTTGGGGCACAAGGTCCACTGGCGCTACTGCCTCCAGTAATCCTGCGGCACTGTCTGATGCACGTCTCGCGTAAAGTAACTCCCTTCCGGCATTCCTGCGGATGAAGTTTTGCTGAGGTCCTTGAGGGTGCAGCAGCGAGGAGGTCGCACTATGCTGTCGCCCTCAATGGCAACCACAAAGGTGACTATCACTAGGACAACGCTCAGTTTCGACAATATAGAGTGATATAAGTTGATTTGTGCTCTTCTCAAGTTTTCTCGAATGAGTGCTTACTTTTTTCCCAATGATCTGGGTCCTTATAAGTCTTCGGCGCTTAAGCAATCAGGTGGCTATTTTTCACTTGTCATAAGATGAGCGATCTTATTAAGCAGATGCCTTTGTGGCTTACTCCATATGGCTTACGGATCGGTGAAGTCGTTTTATTTTTAGCCAACTTAAGGATATTTATTTTTATTCAACAAAGCCTATTAAATAATCATGAGTTCCTATCTAGGTAGTTGTTTTGATATCAACAAAATAATGTACATACATATACAGTCGGAACATAATTTATTCGTAAACCCATGAGTAAATTATGTGCAGACTGTATATAATATACATATATTGTATTGAAACCACCAAGGACAAAGACAATGTTATGGCAAAAGGTATACCCTGGATTATAGGTAGGAGGAAGTTTTGATCTCTAGTTTGTAGTGAATTATAAAATTCTATCAATATTTATTTATTTGTAAAAAACCTCAAAATTAACAAAAGTAATAGTTTTTTTAAGTAAGTATTTTGTTTTTATTTTCCCCATCGCGGATTTTGGCTTCCTTACGGTGTTCTGTGTTTGGCCCATCGCCTTGTAGTCTGAGGTTCCCTTTTCAATAAGAATCTCAAGCGTTTCTAGAACATCCACCCTTAACTTCTTGTATTGCCAATGAAGCCCTTTTCTGGAGAGCTCCCACAATTTGATCGGAAACATGTTGCTTCTTATCAGTTGCCAGCTGCTTAACCAAAATTACCAAGAAACGGCGATTAACTAGAAAGGGGACAACACCTGAAGCTATAGAATCTAGAGTCTTGAACAAGTAAAGGTCTCTTGGTTCTTTTCAGCCCCTTAGAAATGCTTTTTAAGTAAGCTAAATAGTAACTCTGATGTATTACATTTCGCTGTTTTTGTAAATGACTTTGGTCTCATGAATTTTGTTACTTATAGTTTTGACTATTTATCTGGTAGTAGGCATCAACTGGCTCTATAAGACGGCTTTTGGCCATAAACGGCAAGTGTATGAATTGACATCACTTTAAAAATCACATTAAATAAGTTTATAAGTTTCACTGTGAGACCATTTAACCCAATGCGTTTTTGATTTTTTTAGTTTTTTTGCCAAATAAATTTCCATGAAAATATGATTTTAGCCGCCGCTGTACTTTGGTTGGCTTTCTATCCTGTCTATGGAAGATTGGATTTATTTTCTACCTCGATTGCTTAAAGCTCTTCTCCGCACATATAGCCTTCTCTGTCGGTTCCTCTGCAACTATCTCTTTCTTTGCGTTTCCGACTGGCCGATTTCGCCAGTTGGGTTTGCCTGCAAATTATTTGATTGAACGCAATTTTTTTTGGCTTTGGCTCGTTTGTTATTCGGCGGCGGCGGCAAATTACTTTTTATGGCTGGCGGCGGGCTTTTCACTTCCCATTTGCCATTTCCCTGCCCATTTCCCCATTTGCCATTTACCACTTGCCACTCGCCCCTGTTGAATGCGAATCGCTGGATTCAGGATATAGGATGCTGCCGTTGCCGTTGCGGCGGCTGTTTTTCCAAATTTAATGGCTTAGAAAGTCATTTGCATTTTTTGGTTACCCAACTTTGTTTAACATTATTCGGCGCCGTATGTTGCCGCTGAATGTGGTGCTGAGTTCCAGTTCCTAATTAGCTTCAGCAAAACCACCTAGAAATGCATTTTATGCGGCAGGGCTAAAAGATTTTTTCATAAGTAAATATCACACGACTTAGTTGCATAGTTTGATTCCTGGTTCGCTGGAAAGTTGGCAGCACATTCTCTCAAAACTTTTTGTGGCTTTCTCTTTTATGTAAAAGCTAATAAGTGAGTTAAGAGACTGTTAAGTATTTTTGATTATCAGCCATATACGTGCATATAGTACTCGTATATCAACCATAATATTTATAAGAGTTTTGCTTCGCTGAGCAATTCATGATTTCTGTAGTAACTAAATTTATTTTCTTTTTTAAGTGAATATATTTTCTATTAAAAATAAAAACATCTAAGATTATTTTGACTATAAAATAAAAAGTATTCATTAAGGTTTTTTTTACTTTGCTCCTTTTATCAGTGCTTAGAAGTTGTCTTGTTTTTATATATAAATTTAAAGAAACTAATCCAGCTGAATTTTCCATGGGGAGGAGAAAATGGAGAAAGGAGAAAAGCCCTGGTGAAGCCCTGGGACATACAAAAACCATTTGTGACAATTTTAGTATTATTAATAAATATGCAAATGTATGGTCTAATTTTTTATCTTATATTATCACTAGTAAGTCTTTCTTCACCAAGCTTTGCAAAGGTGACAACAGTAAATTTGTATGTATGTGTATACTCGTATGACTTTCATGCTCTAAGATTGAAAGAAAACAAAATAAAACTTTTTAAGATTTGTATAATTTAAAAAATGTTAAAAATTAAAAACATTGTCTGGTCAATAATAAACTTTAATGCTTTTTATACCCGTTACTCGTAGAGTAAAAGGGTATACTAGATTCGTTGAAAAGTATGTAACAGATAGAAGGAAGCGTTTCCGGCCCTATAAAGTGTATATATTCTTGTTCAGGATCAATAGCGAAGTCGATTGAGCCATGTCCGTCTGTCCGTCTGTCCGTCCGTCCGTCCGTTCGTCCGTCCGTCCGTCCGTCCGTCCGTCTCAGTACTTTTATCCGACCACACCCACCCATACGCCCACCAAGCTCAAAAGAGCTTTCGCATTTTTAAGAAAACCTGATATCTCGGTAAGTATAAGTGATAGAACGTTCGGATTAAGCATATAGGTTTTTATGATACTCCAAACGCGAAGTGTTTTTCCCATCTAGTCACGCCCACCCTAACGCCGACAAAACCCGGAAAACCAAAAATGCAAAAATCTCGGGACCTATAAGAGCTAGAGTTGTGCTTAAAAAAACGTATTAAATAGATGCCACTGCAACTTGTCACGAGTTTTCATCCAGCCACGCCCACTCTAACGCCCACAAACCGCGGAACACTATGGAGTCTATAAGTATAAACACTTTTCTCCAAAACAATGTGTGTTGCATACTTTTTTTGCTACTACTATTTTCCGTCTAAACACACCCTTACTCGAAAACAAAAATTTTACAGATCTTTTTTACAAAAAATTACATTTATCACTTTTTGATGTAGCCCACTGATCTAAAGTCTTACGATATATTTTAACTCACCTGCGCTAGTTTGCCATTGACAATGCTGAGGGACTCCAGACTCGAGCGGACATTGCGCAGACTGTTGTCCTTGAGCGCCTCCAGGTGCGAGTGGGAGAACTGCAGGTGGCGGATGTGGGTGCCCTGCTGGAATACGTCCTGCGAGAGGGACGTCACGGAGCGGTCGAAGTCGTAGATGGACAGCGAGTGGATCGGCGCCGATATTCGCTCGAGGGTCGAACGCAGTGATATCGCCGTCGTGCCGGGACACTCCAGGAATAGTCCTGCGAATCGGATGAATTAATCATGTGGTTATCGCCGGCGGGTAGAAGCAATTTGTGCATTTTAATTAGTTCCACTTTGCCCATCAAAAGAGCTGTCCTAGCCAGTCGATTGTAATTCATATTATTAGTCTCCCCAGTTGAACAGCCTGTCATACTCGTTTCTCCCGACGCCCCCAACTTCTATACAAATACCCCAACAGCCCCTCCTAGTACTTCCACATTCCAGGTGATAATTAATATTCAGGAGTGTGTGAGGACAATGTAGCTCGACAGGAACATTGCATACATCTCCCTGGGTTGTTGGCCAAAATCAAAGAAAATTGTGTTGTTTTCGTCTAAATTAATTTCGAGCACTGCACTGCTCATCTTTGATTGTACTAGTCTAATAAAATAATACCCATAATAATAATAATGTGTAATATCGATGGCTGGTTGTTTGATTATGTCCCCTAAATGGTTTCTATGGGGAATTAAAATCAGGAATTAAAATCTGATTGCCTCTGAACTCTGATATTTTGGTCTCTAAGAGCTGATAAACTGGGCCCACTGCCTATACCTCTTTGGTTGAGAGAGATTTTTAACACAAGTTGAGCTGGATCGCTCGAATTTCCAATTTAAGCTTAGAAATCTGTGCAATAAAACCTTAATTTCTAGCTCTTATAAGCAAGTAATATATACATAGCTCCTTCTGTACTGGGCATCAAATAGTCGTTGGCCAGGTGTTGGAGCTGTCCGCACGTCCTGCGTTTAATTAGTTCGCCCGACCGTTCGCACTTACCATCCTCGAATTTGTAGCAGGGACAGGCGGTGTTGTCAAAACTGGGGCACTCGATACCAGCCGCTCCGCCTACACCACCCCCGCTGAGACCTAGACCAGGGACAACGCCCAATGAGGCTGTTGCTCCGACTCCTGCTCCGGCTCCAAATTCACTGCCGCCTGCGCCTCCACCCATTTCCGAGAAGAGAAGCTCACGTGCCACACCTTGGGCACTGGAGATCCTGGCCGAAGGTGTCATCGAGGCTGCGATGCCCGGAGACAGCAGCAGGACAACCGGGAACAGGGAAAACAGGACCGACTGCAACCGCAGGACATGCTGTTGCACGCCGGCAACATAATTGCGATTTCGTCGGTGTTTGTGTTTGCCTTTGCATTCGGTGTCCGCCAGCTTGGTCTGCTGTTCGTGCTCCGTGGCAGCCGCCGCCTCTTCATTTGTCCCCATCGCCATTTGACGTCCTTGTTCCTGGCGCTGATTATGGTGCTCCTGCAGCTGCTGGTGGTGTTGTTGCTGCAGTTGTGGATGTTTCTTGTTGTGACGTTTAGCTCGTTGTTTTTGTGGGATGACCCTCCCCCTATTCTCCGATATCTTTTCCTTTTCGAGGACTGCCGCCTGTCCGTTTGTTGACTTCGTGCATTTCGCTAATAAGTTTACCAGCATTGCTGTTGTTCCTAAATTGCTGCCGTTGAACAATTTCCTTGTAGTCCTTTGTCTCTGATCCTCTCCCTGTCCCAATCTTTGTCCTTGTCTCTTTCAGTTTGTGTATCCCCTACCCTTTCAGCCAGTCTGAATCAGCGTTGATGTTTTCCTGTTGCCATATCCCTGCAAAATGGAAAGATCGGGTAAAGTAAGAAAGTATTGATATAAAACATTTTTTAGAACTTTACATTTATAGGGGATTTCCGTGTTGCAATGGAAAGCTAAGTTAAAACTGTAAATTATAAACACATTCCTGAAATGCTGAAACTCAGCAAGAAAAGTAAATAAATCAATCATGGAAGAACTTAAGCAATGGCAAGTTCTAGCTATCATTAAAACCACACCACAGCGCGAAGACCAAAAACCGGCTGGAAATTAAAGAACAAGTTAAAAATGCAATTAAAGTGCTAATGCAAAAACGCCATTAGAGCTTAATTATACAGCAAATTAATAGTTCCATACTCATGCTAGTGACTGTGGAGTATGGTGGCAGTCCTAGCCCATTTCACAGGATTGCCATCCCGTCGACTCTTTTTGCCCTCTTATGGTGACAACGCTGGAACTTTTTTTTGTCATACTTGCATCTTTTGTATTACGAAATATTTTCCTGAATGTCCTTTCAGCAGTTTGCCACTTTTTGTCACTCTTAAACTTCGTTTACTTTTTACTTTCCCGAAAGGAATGCCCAAACTTATATCCCATGCTTTATTATTACAGTATAACTTATAGCGAGACAGCCGTTTTCTAATTAATGCCTTTTTTGCCTTTTACCCGTCAATTATATTCGAGGGCCATTTAATGACTTTCAAATTATGACAGCTAGCGCTCCAAAGGACCCCCGCTGGCTGCCCGCCGTCTAAACCAGCAATTTCCTTTGGCAAAGCAAATAAAAAATGCCAGCAACAGCAGCTAAATATTAATAATCATGAACTTCCGGCTAGCTAAATGATAGTGAAACCAGAGTGGAAGAGCCCGGAAAATGCTTGTGTTCTATTAAAATAGGTCATAGAAATATACGTTATTAAAGCCATGCTAATGCCAAAAGCTTTTCCTGAAAATATGTGCATTTACTTTTAATCCGATTTGAAAATGCCACTTTGAGGGGCCCTAAATTCCTACTTCATTGGTATACCCAACCCTTTTCGCCCATCAAAAGCTCTCAAATTGTTAGATTTCAAATATATTATATTTAACAAAATCTATGCACACATTTTTCAACTTTTTAAGTTAAGTTGTTAAGTTATTAAGAGTAAGCACATACATCACACATAGTGATATTAAGTAATGGAAATTGCTTCTTCCTGCACCTACAGGAGCTGAAGCTTTCTGGGTTCATTGAAGATGCAGTTAAAGTCAATGTCTGATCAGTTTGTTGTAAAGGCAAATCGGGTGTCCCCATTTATATTATTTGTCTGATTGGGAAACAGCGGTTAGAGAAGAGGATTCTCTTCCACTCCCTTGCAACGGCCTCACCTGTCTCTTGCAGGACTGCATGCCCCCTGGCAATCCACCACGAATTTCATCCCCTGGCTCGCGGCGTTTTCAATTAGTGGTCATGACAACTGAAGTTTTTACCGCCGCTTCTAGTTTATTTTCTCATTAACCGGCATTCATTTGAGTTTAGTTTTCCGAGCTTTCTCAGTCGCAACAGTGGTCAGTTGGCTGGCAAATCACTCCGCCTCGCAGTCGGTCGTTTAGTCAGTCAGTCAGCCATACGTTTAAGCTGAACTCGCATTTGCGGATAATTAAAAGTTAATTGAGTAACAACAAAGGCTCGTAATGTAATTGCTTTCGTCGTTGCCGAACGAAATTGAAATTATGACCATGGCAAGGTGATGAAATCAAATATGCAGTGGCAATTTATTTAACGCGGCCAAATCAATAAATTGCCATATGAATAAATGAATGCAAAACTTGGCTGTCATTAAACAATTAAAAGCGTTTTCTGTTCAACCGGAGAAAGCTGCCAAGGGCCAAAGGTTTTCACAAATATTGCCGCATTTATTTTTTATGCCCAGGATGCTGTTTAAAAACGTTAAAGTTATCAGAGGTTAAGTTTTTATTTTGTTATTAGTATATTAGTAAAAATTCGTTAAAAAAATGCCCATAAATGACACTCCAACGGAGTGCTACATATTTTAATTAGTTTTGTTCTTTTTTTTCAATTTCATTCAGCTCTAAATGCGGGTATAAAATATTCGTGGTAAAGTTTATAAGCGTTTCTGGCTCTGTAAAGTATTCATACTCCTGATCAGGATCATTAGCCGAGTCTATTTAGCCTCTCCGTATAAAGTTAGTTTTGGACTTAAAACTTTTATTTCCTTAGTTAATACCTATTTTTCCAAATCGGAACAAATTGTCACAATTTATTAACTAAGACATATAGGCCAAGAATAAGGGCAATGGCGTTACCTTCTGTCGGGATATATGCTTTAGTTCCAGATTCAACCAACAGATGGTCCTTTAAAATAACAGATAATGATCTGAAATCGATAGGCATCAGCAGCAACTCCTTCGGGTGGCATTATCAACTGACATTTTTGGCGAAAAGCCCGCCAAAAGCGGAACGTCGAAAACTAATTGAAAGTTAAAATCACAGATCCCAAGGGCCAAGACCCGACTACAATGGACAGTGGCCATGGATATGGGCCCATCCGAAAGTCCAACTCGGACCAAAGCCCAGGAGAAACCTCAGCGCAGATGACGTTAGCGTTGACAAAGAACACGCCAGGCAATTGCAGCACCAGCAGTGGCAACAACCACTTTGTGTCTGGCAGTAAGCATCTCATCACTCAAACAAATACACTGAGAGAAACAAATCGGTTTTATTAGCATTTATTATCATCTTATTTTTAAATTCCTTTGCAGCACAAGAGTGAGAATGTAGAGAATGTAGAGAAGGGAATATTATTTGGGAAATGTTCTATTTGTACCTAATTCAGGCTTCTCTCTTGGTATAGATGTAATACCAATTTGCCCTTTGTGAAATAGTTTTCCCTACACGAAAGCTGTGTTTGCTGTGACCAAGCTCGCTCCCTGCCCCTCTGCAGCAGCAGTAGCAGTAGCAACAGCAACAGCAACCGCCACAGCAGCAACATCACCGTCCTTCGTCATGCTTCTACTTAGACATGACTGGTATTTCATTTTAATGACTCACGTGACTTTCACGTATCTCACAAGAACACTGCCAACAACAGCACCAGCAGAAGCACCACCAGCACCAACACTGGCCATGGAAGCTAGAGGGAGGGGGTTGGGGCAAAAGTATAATCATAATAATAAAAGTTATACACCTAACATGCTATTACGTAACAGACACAAAGCTCAGCAGAGTAAGACGGGGAATAGAAATGGGTTCCTACTTCATCTCGGCCATCACACGATTACACAATCACACACGCTCTGCACTTTGAAGACATGCCAGGACCGAGGGAATGGCCGAGAAGGGGAGAGGCTACAGTCGAAACTTTAATTAGCTCATTTGCAAATACAAACTTTTCATAAGGGGGCCCTGGACAAGTCCACAAACTGTCCTGAGTGGCTGACTATGATTTTCCTATAGATTCAGATAAATCAACATGTACTTAGGTGCATCGATGGAGTAAGATTAGATAATTGGGACAGAGATGCAGACCGGTTAATACCTTAATACTTTTAGCTAACTCTCGACCAACTATATATACTATACTTATATAACTTATTGGTTAATTTAATTAGTTTCTAAATCAATCAGAATGTGAAGTGTTCAAAGTAATGTCTTAACAATGTGATGCATCCTACCGACATAATACCATTTATTTGCAAGACCTTTATGTATCTTAATTTGTATAAAGACAGAAAAATAATAAGTCTCAAAAATACTGCAGAGCTGATTTGGCTTTTTCTGGTTTTCTAAGTTGAACCTTTTTCAATTACCGAAAGCATATGACATTGGTTTTTCCCATTTTTTGGCCTATCTTTATATGTGCATGTTTTCCCCGGCCCGACTGACAGGCCATTCATCAAAGAGCCGACTTCCGTCGTTCTGTTTTTCTTGCTCACGACTTGCTCTTTTTTGTGCAATGCTAAGGCGGGGTAATTGGCCACCCTGGAAAATGCCTACTGTCGCGGGAAAATGGGCCCAGGGCGTGGTGCTGCAAAATGAAGTTCAAGCGGGGGGATATCGTGGGGAAGCCATCGCATCGGTCGTGATTGACAGCCGCGGAATTTTCGAGTGGGGGAGGAGCCTGCTGGTGTTAAGACAAACAATCGGCGGCTTTTGTAGCTCTCAGGCAAATCCAAACTCTGGGAAAATGTCAATTCGACAGGCGTGGGGGTCGCATCAGCAGAGGCAGAAGTCTCAAAATGGCCTTAAGTAGATTGTCTTGTTGGTGACTAACAGTCCAATTCCAATTTAGGAGACGATTCCTCTTCGGGGGAGCTAAGATAACTGCAGTTGGGGCTTCCATCGAAAAGTGCCACAAAAATGGTTTTCATTTTTCCTGCTCAATACCATAATTAGCCAGACGCTCGTTTTAGTTCAGTACGCTTCGGCTTATATTACTTTAGATAGGTTCGGTTTAAAATAGAATCAAGCGGAATACGGCGAAGGCCTAAAAACGTGGCGTTTTGTCAAAAGAGAAAACTGAAGTGTACTCTTTAGGTATTTTTCGGACAATTTTAAGAAACAAAACAATACTAGAAGATTTCCTAGATAATTCTCTTTATATTTTTAATTCCAGTTACTTGTAGAATGGAAATATATATTGTGTTCGTTCTAAAGTATGTAAAAGGATGTTTTACCTTGTCAACGACCATTCTGAAGACCACAAAATTGTAATTTACTTTTAATTAGAAATATATTCATTTAGTCACTATCTATCGACCTTCCAGGCATTTCTATGGTTATTACTAAAAAAGTTTTACCAAGCTAAGGTAATATAAACTAGCACGTGTAAGGCCATAATGGGGCTCATATCATACTCAAATATACAAATTTAATCATCAGCCACTGGAAATGGTCAACGTGAGAGCGGAGAGATCGGAGGATGAAGGATGGGAATGCAGTATGGAGTTATTCCAGCAGGAAGGAAAGTGGGAAAACTATTTTCTTGGTACACGTAGCTCCTGGAAGGCAAAAACCAATGCCGGAAAAAGGAGGCCCAAAGGGCTCTCACGGCAATTTAGGGACGATTAGAATTCATTGTAATTAGTTAACAGCAGGAGCTTTGCCCGTAATAATGTTAGTATATTTATACACCTTTACTCGTAGAAGAAAAGGGTAATGTATTCGTAATAAGGACGTCCTCTAGTTTTGCTGTTTTAGGGCCGAATTAAATTCAATTACGATCGCATTATGCAACTTGCAACACACATGGAAACCGCGAGATACCCCTGCAAGACCGAACACATTCACTTAAGTGCCACTCGAAAACATCAAAATATGGCCAAGGAGGAAAACAAGCGGACTTTGAGTTATGGAAACGAGATGAGTTTGACGCTGGATGTCGATATACCGGGGTAAAATTAACCAAATAGGGGAGCGGTCCGGGAATTTCAAGTGGCGGCCTATTAATGGTCCACAGATGTGACTTATCTTCGCAGAGGAGTGAGTTACTTTCCTGGTTTTCCATTCCAGGAAGGTCAATACAATAATGGTTTACTGATGACTCACTGCCACACTGTTCGAATGTCACGACGCTCATGGTCTGGCATTTGGGTTTGGGGGTCTGGACTCTGGGTTTTGAGTTTTGAGCTTAGTGCTGTCGTTTTGGGGTCGGCTTCCCGGTAAGCCGTGTCCGCCATATCGGAGCCCGGGCATGGCCAGCTGTTCGCCAAAGATATGCTCCCGCTTATGTGTGTTTTCTTTTTGGGAAATATTTCACTGATTGTCGTCGCTTTGGTCAGAGGAAGGAGAAGCAACATCGGCGACGAGGGGACTACCATTTTGGGAAACAAGGCCATTGCCCACCGATGATAAAAATGTGCTTTGAACGGGAACAGGTAATTTCTCGGCTGAATAATGCTCGTTGTGTCAGTGTAATAGGATAAATGGAACGTTTTAATATGAAACAATAGATAAATTACCGTTAATGTAGAAGAAGATCTTTACTTAAAGCTATGTTTAATAGTTTATGCTTGGCCCCAAAAAATAGAATTGGGCCCTTGCCCAACCTTTTGACCTCCCCGAGCAGTGCCAAGTATGGATGGCCCGCATTGAACACCCCGAAAGAATTCCCGAATTTCGGTAGAAGTGAGACGGGCCTGGGGATGGGGAAAGTGATATGTAAATGGCTTATGCTTTGGCAAACTGGCAAATTGCTGTCCACTTTTCATGTTGTCCTGGCCATGTGATCCCTTTTTTCCAGCCATGTCTTCTCCCCCTATCTTCCCCATGTATTTGGTTCCCTCGCTATGGTGATGCTTCCTCTTGGAGGTCCGAAAGCATATGAATCCCGAAAATGCCGGCTGCCCTTTTCTGGTTTCTGGCTTTAAACTTGATTCATGTCAGCCGACTTTCGACATCGATATATTTTTCTTTCTTTTTCCCTACGTGTTTTCCAATTTTTTGGATCTTTCGGTATCTCTGGCATGCACATGCGGCTAAGCCCCTTTCCACGCCACTTTTCTTCGGCGGCGTGTTGATATGTTTATCATCGTTATTATTTATGTTTAGATTTGAATGTCAATGTCGAATCGAAATCGGAATCGGCATCGACATTTATTCAAAACCCTGGCAAGGGGAGGTGTTGGTTATGTGCGTGTGTGGATAATGCCTAAGAAAAATAAAACGGGGAGGGGGCGATTTTCGAGTGTTCTTTTGGACTTTTTTTGTGCGCGTACTTTGAACTTTGATGGCATAAAGTTGTCAGTTTGGGTTTTGCTCGCTCTCATAAGTAATCGCTATTGAACAGATGCAATTACCTTATCAATTGGAGAAACAACTTTAACTTTTAACTTTGTTGATCGACTTCGAATGGACTTTCCCTTAGATTCAAAATGTGAAAATTCGTAAATAAATGTAAGTTACACTTCATACAGGCCTAAGCTGACGCTAATTTTCCACGTTTTTTCATCCCTCTTAAAACAAGAATTAATTATTAAATTAACTTGCGATTTCATTAGCCTAACCGTGAGTACATACACGCCCATACATAGGTATTTGCCTTGCTCTCATTTTCGCTTCCACGCAAAAGTTTTGACAGCATTCGGTTTTGTTTTTAAGTTTCTTAATTAATGTTTGAGCTTTTCCCAAGAGACACAATTTTGTTCGGAAAGTGAAAACGAGAACATAAAGAAAAAATAAAAGTGAAATTGATTAGCATTGCGGGAAGGGGAATAAAATGTAGGACGGTGGTAAAATTTGAAAAGAAATTAATTTCCATTGAAAATGCCAAATGGGACTCCGCGGGAGGGGTGGGTGGTCCGAAGAAAGAAAGGAAGTAGCAGCGGCAGAAGGCAAACATCCAAAAGACATCGACATTTTTTAATTGATTTCACATAAAGCACCGAAACACCGCAGCATCTGCCCAAGAAGGCGAAGGAAAAGTACATACCTAAAAAATGATGACTGCGCATTGTTTTTTATTTGTTAAACTTCTTGCTTTTGGTTGGTTTTTTGTGCCGAAAGGCCTGCAGCCCAGACTCACACACTTGACCATTGAAAAGTCAACAGAAAAGGGAAAGAGTCGGAGAAGGGGGAGAAAAAGGCTGATCCAAATCCGTATACTTGGAGAAAAGCTTTGCGCACACCAAGGAGTTTACCTTCGATATATACAAATGATTATATCTCGTTCGTACTTAATCGACACTTTTATTTAAGGTTTAATATTTCAATTTGAATATTTTAATAATTTTATATACATTTTTAAACCAATTTACCGAAAACACATCAAATGTGAACGGTGTATTTCTCCCAAGTGGTCCAAATTAGCCATTACGTCGGTCTAAGCACCGGCAGTCGCTCAAGTGGCGGCTAATTAAAAAAGCCGAGTAGTGTGATTCAATCCGCCATCAATGGAGTTCGGAATAAGACATTCTTTCCCCGTTTTCCAGATTTTCCAGGCTGATCTCGATGGCTATTTTTTCACCCGGTGGTCTCCCGACCTCAGGAAAAATCGAAAATGGATTTAACTGAAAACGACATAAAGAACGTCTGGTGGTGGAAAATTACCAAGAAAAGTGCCTATGTAAATTGAACAATTAGTTGTATTAAGGAAAACGAAAATAGAGAACATAAATGCAGTTGGCGTAGTGCCATTAATCATCCTTTGCAGGCGGTCGAAAGAGTAGGATGTTCTCTTATGCTTTTGTCGCTACACTCGGGAAAACAAGAAATTATTAACGCAACCAAGAAAATGTTTTTGCTAATTTTGACTTGCAAATTTATGTAACTGTGTATGTTTAGACCTAAAGCTTTCCGTGTCCTTCTTTTCTATTGAATACATGGCCTGGATGCAGCAACAGATTCCTTAATTATCCTATTAGCTATTTCGGGGTTTTGTAAGGGACTATTCTAGATCAAAAGTTTTCAAACGGGACTATAGTCACAATATGATATATCGTAAGGTTAAATATTGAAAAGTTATTATATTATATGCTTTTGCAAAGGTGGGCAAAGTGCTCTCTTAGCCCGTCATAGAAATATTATTAATTACGATTAAAGTGACAAAAACCTCTCTCAGTGCAAGTGCTTCTGAAGAGCACAGAAAGCTGAGCGCGGCTTCAGCGTCCTCTTCGAAATAGACTTCGCTCTTTCGGTTCTCTTTGCGATCTCGGCGAACGCATGTGTACATGTTTTTATATGTAGGCAGTCGCAGACGATCTCTCGCACACTCTCTCCTCTCCCTTTCTTTGGTGGGGACTGCGACGTCGACGTCAACGCCCGCACAGAGTTTCATTCCAAAAACAACAGTGAACGTGAACGGTAACGGTGCGTTCTCCCTTCTTCTGTTCTGCTTTTGCCCAATTTTTGCAAAAAATTGGCCAACAAATGACAACAGCGATGAAAAGCGAACAACATTTTTTGTAAGGGAAACAAAATACTAAAGGCATGTGCGACAGGCCACTACGGGTGCTTATAACTTAAAACAAAAAAAGAAATTTCATGAAAAATACGAAGTTTTCAAATTAAAATGTGTCCCATTCAAAATCAAATGTTTTTCGTGTGCTCTTCGGTCTTGTTTATTTTCTTAATTTTTTTGTGTGCCGTCGTTATTTGTCTTTAAGTTTGACCCGATTTCAGTTTTGAACGAGGGCCCAATCCACAGAACAAGAACGAAAACAAAACAGAAGACTGCATATCTGTGAAGGGAATAGAGAATGAAACACAGTGAAGTGAAATTAAATAAAATACGTACTACGAGTGTTTATTAATATACTATACTTTGTATGGGGATTCCGCATTGTGAAACAGTTGATGTGGTCGCCGTTGTTGCTGGCTTTATAGCAACAGGCTTCCGATAATTTATAATCATGAAATATATATGTGTACGTATATATGTATGTCCCCTGAGCAAATGCATATGTATTCGCTATTTGCACTGAAAAAAAAACTAAGGTCGCTTCGTGCAAATCCTACTTTTTTTTTTTTTCAAAGTATTTTAAAGTGCAAATTGCCAGAAAATATTAATATATTGTTAGCATATTAATATATTATTTTCCGTTTTTCTCCCCCACAGTTTGTAACAATCAAACCAATTTCAATCGTTTTTTGTGGTGATTTTTTGTGAGTGTGCAAAAGTGTTTGTGAATGACTGAATATACAAGTGATACAGTTAAAGAAATAATATAAATAACGGCGCAACAATCCAATAAAAGCCGCGGGAGTTGTTATAATGTCAGATACAGAAATAAACGCAGCGACAAAGGGCGATAAAACAGCAGCAAAAAGAAAAAGGCAACCAGTGGCGGGAAAACTTTAACTTTACTTTAACGTAAAATTAAGGTGGTCAAAGCCAGCCTATCCAGTCGAGCCAGAAATAAAATAAAATACAAAAAATAATACAAAACATTCTCGAAACAAGAAAATACAACCATCAACGAACCGAAACTCAAAACGAAAAACGAACCAATTTGTGGGGTTCAATATTTATTTGTATGCTAATTTATTTAAACAATAATTTGGTACTAACCTACAAAGCGACAACAACAACAGAGATAGGGTTAAAGATAAAGGAGGCGCAACAAAGCCAATCCCCGCCTCTTCTGCATTTTCTTTGTATTGGAATATTAAACAGCAAAAGTAAGTGGATTATGGTATGTGTTTTTGTTTAAACCTTTAAGTGTGTTTTACAATTTCCCTCTTTTCTTTACTCTTGGCTGTGGAAACTTGTGTTTTTTTTTTTTTAACGAAATTCAACTTAAACCCAGGCATGTATGGTATACATCAGCAATCGTACAATATCACCAAAACATATCTTGCGTTCCGCATCTTCGCATCCTCTACTGTGTTTCGGCATGTCTCATTTTCGTGGGCTTATCCACGGGGATTTCCCGGGTCCACGCCCGATGTTGACCTTCTGACTGCAGGGATGTGGGAAAACAAGTCTAGCCATTCAGCGGATGCGGAACTGAATTTTGACATCTTTAGTTGACGATCTTATGCAGTTCTTACTTGCATGTTAACTTCAACACAGGGCGTCTTTTTGCCTTTTAAATAACATCTATTTCGTCTGAGAACAAAGGGATTTGCATGAGGTTTAATATGGGCAAATATGCCTATTGCGATTCACTTCATACCAATAAAAACACGTAATAATATAGTAAGTCTGACAAACCTAAGTGTTGCGTTTAAAACGAGCTATTACGTTATGCTTTACATTTTTAACAAGCAGTTTCAACTTATTAGGTTGGAAAAACTTATTGAATTTGAAATGGCTTATATTTCGCAACCTAATTGAATATAATGCGCGCTTTCATAGACGTGACCGAAACGAAGTTCCACCCAATAATTCTGGAGCTAATTACGCCTTGGACAGTTCCAACGAATTTAATAGACCAAGTTGAATCTCCGTGGGGTGTGCTATCAGTTCATGAAGAGATCACGATTAGAATTTATAGTGATGAGGGTTATAGCGATGCTTATCCCGATGACGATATCACTCGGTGTCCCTATCAGTGCCAAATTGGAAAAGTGAACACTTCCGCTGGCCCAAAACGAAACTGTTTGTTTAAAAACAAAAACCAAAAGTGGAGCCGAAATGAATTTTAAATCCCAATTTCAGTCCCTCATAAAAGTGTAACCAAGTTAATTACATTTGTCCGACTACCCACAAATTAAATATTGGAGGGGTGGCAAAATACTCGGTGACTGAAAACGGTTGACTTCCATGTCGGAACACACTGAGAAAAATGGGTGACACCTTAAACTTTTTACAATATTTCCTTGCGTTGAATGTTTTTTTTATGTTTGGAATGCATTTAATGAAAATCTCTTAATATTCCATTAAAACCAGTTAACACAAGCACATTAAAGCATATAGGAATGCATTGATCGAATAACAAATACCCCTAATCACCGTACAGTGTGTTTATACACATAACTACTATAGAAAAAATTGTGTTTTCGTCGTATATTACGTAACGGTCAAAGGCAAACGTTATCACGCGAAAAACATACATATATTCTTGATCAGGATCAATAGCTGAGTCCATTTATCCGCGTCCTTTTGCTTGTCCGCCCGTCGATCTGTCTATCTGTGTAAATGAAAGTTGAGTCCTCGGGACCTTTTTTTAAAAAATAGTTGAAAATTCTAAACTTCATTTCAGCAGCCTTAAGTATTCTTTTATGTCAGTACCTATCGTTTTGGTAAGTTAGGATAAATCGATAGGTACTGACAATAACAGTATACTTGTTTCCGAAAAGAAAACGAATTTTTAAGATTTCTGCTTTAGGCGCAATTGAAGGCGGTGCTAACTTTTAAATCTTTTACTGGAACAAATAGACATGAATAGGTCGACTGACCTAAAGTTCCCTGTTAATAGTACTGTATAAATGACGGAAAGGCTATATCCATATTTATTTGACTGGATGCACTTAAAATATTATTTATATAGAGCTACAGAAAATATATAAATAAATATTTAAAATGTTATTATAAAAATTTAGCGGCGCAAATACCAAAACGCCCGCAAATCGTTTCCATAGTCATTATCAGCATTAGAAAGTTTTACAGACGGCACGAAATTATGATTCCGGCGATGGTGATGGGACTATATATAGTCGACGGGGTTCATGGCGGAACACAAACTGCTCGACATTCCCCACGTGGCGAGGCCCATTCGAAAGCATCCGCACCCTCATAAAAAGTGTAATGAAATGAGCAACCAAAGAAAACGAATCGATCACGAAATGGTTTTCGAGGCTCTTTGAGTCACTTGTGCCCGTGGCAATATAGCCGTGGAAAAATTGGTTCAGCTGCAGCGGGGCAAACCGCATCTGGGCGATCCGTAGGGCAGTACGTGCCTGAGAGAAAACACTGAAAACTAACGACGAAAACCGATATCCGACCTCCATTTACACTCAAACTTTGCGAATGTTTGTTCTGGAATTTTCTATTTCGCTTTCTCTGAGGCATCGATCACGAATTCGTTGCTCTCAAGAACATTCCAAAAAATCGAGTATATAAAAGGGCAGGGAAAAGTGTGTGGGGAGCCGGAAGTCTAGAAAAGTTCTTAGCAAGAAGTACTTTAATTCAAGTTGCATATCGTCTTGAAAGACTGGTTAGCAAGCATTTGCAATTTGACTAAAATTGATCATTAGTCCAAGTCGTCTTAAAAGTTACTAAAAAGTTCATTCTTTTTGTAATACCCATTATTCGTCGAGTAGAGGGTATAATGTAATGTGTGAAAAGTATGGAAAAGAAAAATAAATATATAGATCAGTAGCAGAGTCGACTTAGCCATGTCCGTCCGCGCAAACATTGATATCTCGGGAGCTATAAAAGAAAGAATGTTGGGATTATGTATGGACATTCAGAAAGATTAAGATTGCTCTTTCAGCTGGCCACGACCACTCAAAACGCCTACAAACTACGAAAAGCGGTGGTGTCTCTAATAGTATAAGTAAAGTTTTTTTTCATACTTTTCTTATAGTGGAAAACTTTAAACATAAACTTAATATTGGTTTAGAAGTAGAAGTAGAAGTAAACTGCAGACCTCTTCCTCAACCTAATATATTCCCCTATTTGTATTGCTTTCAGAATTTTCGAGGGTACTTCCTTGTTTATCTCTTTCGGGGATTTTCTCGGTCGTAGTATTTATTCATTTATTCACCTGTTGGGAGCATTTGGGCGTCAAAGGCAAAGGCTAATAAGGTAATACATATTCGCAGCTACAACGAAGGCCCCCCGTACACCCTCACCCATTTCAGCCACCGATTTGAACCCCCTTTTCGACGTTGAGCTCCATGTGCAGCGTAGCGTTTCCCCATTTCTCCGTCACCTTCCCCCCGCGTGGTTATTTAACCATGAAGGCGGGCAAGTTTGGTGATTAGGGACGTAGGGTGGAGATTTTCAGGGGGCGGCAGTTGGTTTGCACAAGAGGAACGTTCGCTGAGTCACCGCCTAGTCAAAAGTTTAGGACGCCCACGCTCGCCTAGAATCATCCGAATATTTTAAAAAATATTTATTTTTTATATAATTAAAATAAGTTTTTTCAAGTTTACAATATACAAATCGGGGTAATATATATAAATGTAAATGATTTAACCTTCTTAAGTTCAAGATTTTATGCTTTTAGCCTAGTTAGTTTTAACTGGCAGTATGTCGTTCTTGCCACAAATTGTATAGGTAATACTGCTTTTTTGTGCTAATGCCGTTGCTAGGACAGTTGCAGTTGTTGTTGTTGCTGCTGTCGGCAGCAAGCGGAAACACAGTACGGTTTGGCGCAGCGTTTAATCTCCACTGTCCCATCGGAACTATAGCGACTACGCCTATATGGACGCTGTATACTCGCTCATATGTACATGGAAATAACCACAAGTGCACTGCCCTCTCGGCAAAGTGTTGTTGTTGCTGTTGGTGCTGCGGCTATTACAATGCGATTTTTTATTGTTCTTGTCCGCGGACATCGCCCGTAATTTCCAGTACACACCGCCGCCGTTCTTCTCTCTTTATGACGCCGATGATGACGACTCTTTCTTCCGCTCCTCGATATAGGTCCGCTTCAGTTCCAGCTGAATGCGTCGGTGCTACTTCCGCTAACAATTATTTTTTATTACACTTTATTACACATTGTATTTTCCGTTTTCACTTCTATTTCCACCGCTCTTTTTCTTTCCCTCTGTTTTCTTTTTGGCCAAATGACTTTATCATTCCCCGTGTGTAGGGAGCACTGTTAGAACGGAAAATTGGTGGCCAAGAAGCGTAAGAATGGAGTGAAAACTGAATTTTACTTTAAGTATATTCATTTTTTGTAAGACTTCGAATGACGCTCTTCCGTCCATTATTAGTTACTTCTATGATAAACGGGTATATTGCATTCGATTATCAGTTTGTAGCAATGTATATAAGGTTATTAATCAGGTGCAATAGCCAAGTCCAACGCTGTGATCTCGGAAACTAGAAGAGCTAAAAAGTTGGGATTGGCCATTCTCATTCTATTCTTTTGGAATTGCGAAGAAAGTAAGAGGTATCCATAAATGATTTTTAGTTTCATAATTTCTTTATGAATTATTCTTGTTTCGATATTTTAAAGCTGCGGTTAAAGTTCTCTTAAAAACAAATGACTACCTTTGTTTTTATTTATAATTGGAAAATCTACTCACTTCCTTGCTTGTTTACATAAATAACAAATAAAACAAGAGGAAACGCTATAGTCGAGTGCCGCGACTATAAGATACCCGTTACTGTTTTACAAAATTTTAAAATATTAATTTTGATAGTGAAAATTCACAAGGCGCCACCTATTGTCAGAGGAAGAATGTTGAGTATGCTTATAGTGACGTCACTGCCCATGTGAGGCCTTATAACCTTAATTTCTTTATATGAAAAATCTTTGGTAAATCGATAGATATTAACGGAAATAAGTTATACAAGGTCAAACGAAGGCATTCCTAATAATATTATAGACGCCAAAGCTTGCCGCGGTTTGTGGGCGTTAGAATGTGGAATGCGTGGCCAGATGCAACTTCGTGGCAAGTTGCAGAGGCATCTCTTAAACAGGTGTTTAGCGTGTTTGTAGCTCTTATAGTTTTTGAGATTTTTGCGTTTTTGGTTTTTCGGGTTTTATGGGCGTTAGAGT